TTTTAGGGGATGAGTTGGTGTATTCATGTGTTTCTTTAAAACTGGCCAAATGTTTAATAAGCAAACAAACGTTTTTCACAGCAGTTCACAAGCCTTTGCCTGCGCCTTGCAGCTAGCATTGGAGACTAGCCGCTGTCTGTGGACCCAGCAGGCCTGTTTGATTCATGAAGCAGCATCAAAGCTTTCATATGCTCCTTACATTTCCCACTGCTCTCTCTCATCTTGCTGTTGAATCGTTTCTCCAAAGCTGTCGGATAGTCTCTCTGCAGGGTGGTTGGCACTCATCGAAAGCTAATAGAGGGTGACTGTATATGCATATGTGGGTGTGTGCGAGTGTGTGTGTGTGTGTGAGAACAGTGAGGTAATGTGATGTGACGAGCAGATTTGCCAGCATGTGGTCATCGCGATTTTGGGTGTTTTCGCACGCACACACGCACAGACACTTTGTCTTGTCTTATTCCGTTCTCTCTTTACTAATTCCCCGAAAACTACCTAATCACTCCCAATATGTAATCCAATCGGCCAAAAAGCAGTATGTTAGGGTTCATTATGCGTTGACTAATGCAGCACACAAGTTTGGATGGAGCTATTCATGCAGCTCATCTTATTAAACCTGCTCTCTCTCAGTCTGAGCTGAATCCAATTTAATAACACATGCTGCACTGCGCTTTTATTACTGTAATATCCACCAAAGATTAGCCTAAAATGGCACTTTCAGGGCAGCATTGACAAACACGGACTGTATTTGTGTTCTCGTGACACTTTATCACCGTTTACGATGCTCTACATTTCCGGAGTGGGGACATTCTGGGTAGAACATAAATCACAGCATTGGTAGGGCAGGCAACTTGGTAGCATATTTATTTACGCGTACCCTGGTGCTTACATTCGCCTGGGATTCTCATGTGAAGCTACAGCAGGATTGCGTCCCATATGTGTGTGTGGGTTGGAGTGTGTGATGGTCCAAGTCAATGGCATTGATTCTACTCGGGCTTGAATTCCATCCTCGTCCTCCACCCCCTCAAGCCTTCACTGTGTAGCTCACAGAAATGAAGCATCCCCTCAAGAACAACGAAGGCCACAGATCACAGAGGACAAGCTGGTTGACACAATGTCTGCAGCAAAGTCCTTAGCTATTGCTGGTGGCATCGTTGTGACAGAGGTGGCAGTAGAGGTTGAGGTTAGCGAATCCTTTTTGTGTAAGGTGTGAAGGCAGGGTGGAGAAAAGAAGTGCATCCTTTAGGATGTGTTATACACAAAGTTGGATCGGGGGCGCTTGAAAAAATAGATGTGACATTGTGCTCGTTCCTGCTTTGAAATGTTGTTTTTTTTTTCTTCCAGAGAAATCAGTTTCAGCTAGAGAGTAGCACTTCGACAGCTGGAGTAGGTCTGGGGCTTTATGTTTAGAAATTTCAGAAAGTTTCAGTTTTTATTTACCTTCTTGTTTTTTTCTGCTTGCGTCATTCAGTTTTTGAAGCCAGCGGAACTTCCAGATCCAACGCATAGAAACACCCTGTAGTCTAAGCACCATGAACGGCTGCTGAGGTTGGGTAAATACACAAGGCAGATGATAAACACTGGCTTGCCTCATTACATTTGCTTATTCATGAAGCAATTGTTGGTTAGTTTGCTCTGCCTTGATGCAGACAGTATCGGTCTGACCCCTAAAAATACCCTGTACTAAAGGTCTGTTGAACAAATGGTATAAAATCAAATATCAAAGAAGCTCAACATTTAATTAATAGGCTTCTATTACGGGTGGCTAAATTTCAAATGAGTCATTTCTGTAATGTAGTCGGGGTTTTGTGTGAGGTTAATTGAGACCTTGACAGCACTTTAGTCTCTGCTGCATGCTTGTGCGTCTCGTCTTTCCTCTGGCTAGAGTGTCTGCTCTTGGGCTTTACGGAAAGAGATTTGATCAGAGTGAAAAGCGTATACTCCAAGTGTGTATATGCACGTAATCACAGGAGTGTTACCATGGGAGTGAGAGGATGAGATCGAGATGTACAGTAGATGCAAGAGAAAAACAGATGTATAGCAACAAGCTCATAAGTCAAAGGAGCTGAAGTGCTCTCAGGGATGGAAAGAATAAGAAAAAAAGAACACATTCTTTGTTTTAGTTGTTGCGTCTTGGCTGAAGTGATCGTGTGCCTCCTGGGATGTCAGAGGAGGGCTTTTCCAGTGCTCTGCATCGTGCAGAAGGATCAACAATCACCTGGAGCATACAGGGGATACAGGAAATGATTTAACGTGACTCGCAGTATGGATCAACGTACACGAAGGGATAGCACTGCATCGTATTACTGTCAGGCCAATATTGCAGTTGTTTTTTTGTTTTCGTTTTGTTTTTTTTGCCCCCTTCCTCTGGCTCTGAAATCACAAACAAATATAATATGACTGTGTTACCCTTAAAATAATTTACTGAGGGACCAGACTGGCTGGTGCTCCAGTGAACCCCCCACACCGCTATCATCCTCTCCTGTCACTCTCCAATCCTCTCCAGCTTTATCTCCTCCTCTCAGCCTTCTGTTCATTAAACAGACATAAACAAAAGAAAGTTTTTTGTTTGCGGCGTGTGTCTCTCCATTGCATGCGGCTCAATCTCACTGAGCTCATGGAAGCAATCACAAGCTGTTTGTTGCTTACCGTTAACAGCCCATACTTTGGGAGGCGGTCCAACTTAGTACATAATTGAAAATGGTTGCTGTGGTCCATTTGCTACGCTTTTGTTCTTCCTACATCAGCAACGCAGGCACCGCCAGGATGCTGCTCTTGGGGGATTTGCTTTTGTGTGTCATTTTTCCCCACCATCTCTTTCTCTCCCCCCTTTGATGCCTTTTTTTTTTTTTTTTTTTGATAACAATTCACACTTCAGTTGAGATTGCTCTAAATTTCGATTTCAGCCAAAATGCTCTTTTAAGTAGCTGTCGCTGTCTGGATGCTATTCGTCCCTCACTCGTTTTTTTTTCCCCCCCCACCCCTGAAATGTTTTCTTTTATGTGAGTGCATCCACTCGTATTATGTGGCCGTGTTTGTCTCAAAGTGAGCGCTATCATCCTCTTTAATGTTCCAGGAGTATAGCAGTTAGAATGTCACTTAACACTGTACTCTTTCTACCTCTTCAAAGCTTTCTTTCCTTTTCCTTGTGTCTTTCATGCAGCAGTTATCCTTCACCCAATACTGTAACAAACCCTTTTTCTTATATTGCCTACTACACATTGAAAAATTAATGGTCATATCTCAGTACAAAGTGCATAGATATCAAATGGACAAGCTATTATCCACCACCACTCTTCTCCTCTCACCTGAGATTGTTCCTGTAGTGAACTCGCTCGCTCATGAGATTTGGCTTTCAATCTGTCTGCCAGCAGACCACCCCCAGCTGACCAGCCCCAGCCTCTCTCCTCAGGGAAATGCACCGAGGTCTTGGAGTGATTTTGCTGTAATGGAACTTCAGGATAAACTAGATTTGATGATCCACCCATACAGGGGCCCTCTTGGCAGTTTGAGTTTGCCCTCTCTCCCTCCTATTTGAGCCCTAAACCTCATTACCTGAGGCTGATTCCTCATTCGGGCCTCCCTCGGGAAACAGAGGTGTGGAGGGGCAAATGAACACAGGAAGTCGAGTGTCACTTCAGATCACAGTTCATGTCAGGGAAGCGGTTGATTTGTATAACTGCAGAGTGAAGAAGAGGTATTTGGGACTGGAGAGATCTTTTTTTTTTGTAATTGGCGATGTGTGAATCTCTGCTTTTACCAATGATTCTTTTTTTCCCTCATGAATTTGCTCTACCTAGTTTAGGATTAGAACTACTTTGTATAAGGATCAGCCGCCTCATTGTTAATATTTCTTAGTTGAGATGAAGCTCAGTTGATCCTGCATGGCAATGAGGGCATCTCTTTAACAGAAGTAATGTGATTCAGGGAAAAGGCGGGATGTATTCCATAGAAAACATAGCATAATATGTATATAACAGTAAGGCAAGTAAATAACATGGGGTGTATGCAAATCTAATCATGAGAAATAGTACGGAGACCTACACAAAAGCTACTATTTCCCTTGCTCACTGGCTTCAGTGTCCACACTCTGACTCATGTGATTTAGGTGTCACTGTTGTGAGCGTTCTTGCAGCCTTCTTTCTGTTGTACCAGCTGCAGGTGTTTGTTCAGTTCTTGACAGATGCACACAGTGTCCTCCCTGGCTGCTGTAAGGCTGCTGTTTGACATGTGTCCATTGTACAAACTGTCTGTTTTGACTAGTAGTGTGTGAACAAAGCCCAATGCGGTGGAAGGAGGCCATGTGCTGCAGACAGACTGGCAGGCATTAGCAAAGTTGTCAGCACCTTCTCTTCCCTTTCTTTTTTGGGCTTTTTTTTGAGTTGCTCTTTTAATCCACTTTGTCTGGTCTTGGCACTGGTGTTTCTCTGGTTTGCCACCATCCAAAAATATATTTGTGTCTGATTCTAACCCAGCTGTTTGCTCCACTGTGATGGAAGTTGTTTTTTTAGATTTAAGACACTGCCAAACCATTATTATTCCAATGCAGATGAATCACTGTACACTGAAGTTGTTTAATATATTTAATATATTCATAAGCTAATATATATAACATTTTTTTGAGGGGATGAGAGTTTCAACTACAATCAATGTTTTTATTCGGGAATTGTAAACATATTTATTGAGTTACATTTCCAAATGTTCCACCCAAGAATATGGCTTTATAATTACCAATAAATAATAATTTAGGTTTAATGCTTTTTTTACTAAAAGAAATATAAATATTAAAGGGTTCATAGATCCTACTTGGGGAAGTTGCATATTGAACAATGATTGGACCATGATTTCCCCCTTCAGCATGTCATTCTGCACGGTGAAGCTCAAATATCCGAATAAACTATTAAGTAAAACACGCTTCTGGGAGGATGAGAGGCTGATAGTGAGTGTTTCCTTCTCAATGAAGTTCCTTACCTTTCCTTTCCCCTCCCTTCTTTCTTCTCCAGGTAAGGAAGAGTCAGTAGCCACCTTCAAGGGCAACGAGTTCTTCTGCTACGACCTGTCCCTGACACCCATCCAGAGCAGCACCGACGAGATCACGCTTTCTTTCCGAACACTGCAACGCAACGGCCTCATGCTCCACACCGGCAAGTCAGCTGACTATGTGAACCTTTCCCTGAAGAGTGGCGCTGTTTGGCTGGTCATCAACCTGGGCTCGGGGGCCTTCGAGGCTCTGGTGGAGCCCGTCAATGGCAAGTTCAACGACAACGCCTGGCATGACGTGCGCGTCACCCGCAACCTGCGCCAGGTAAACACTGCACGCAAAATCTAGGGCCGCTGCAGTCAGGATGGTGCCTCTGTCTGCCACCCACCCTATCTCTACTTTCATCATTTCTCTTTTCTCCTAGGACATGGAAAGCACAGGCAGTGTTTGTCTCACTTTCCTCCTCTCACATTTGCTTTCCTTCCTCCCATCATAACAAACGTTTCTTTTTTTTTTCAGGCTGAAGTAGAGCAGAAGAGCCTTGCTCCTTTATGTTTCTCTCATATTTAAATTCTGACCAATGACCAAAGATCCATCTCACTTTTATATTTAGGTCATTCAAAGGTAAAAGCATTACAGCCTACATGAAAATGCGACTATGATCCTAGCTGTAGTCAGACTATTGTTAACATACATTACAATGCAATCAAAGACAAATATGCACATGTAGGCTTTGTCCCAGGACATTGTTCTGCGGACTTATTAATGAACAAGTAAAGAAAGTGCTCTGCTCAGTAGGTATGCACATAATGTACTCAGCTACACAAATGGAATGCACCCTAATTTATCAAAGGTGACATTGCACTTAAAACCTTTCTGAACAAATTACCCAACACATCTTTACAGACCTTTAATCGTAGCTAATGGAAAACAAAAGAGCACCAGTAACCTGCATGTGTATGTACGTGAGTTGGTGTGGAATTTGTGTAAAACACTGTGAGACTATGCACTCCTGCTTGTTCTGTCTGCTACATGCTCAGGGAAACACTAAGTACATGCACATGCAGAGCACTGCCTGAATACTGGCCTCTCTGGATTCTCCAAGTCATCAATTGGCAGGTGCAGATACCAGCAGAGAGATACAATCAATTTCACTTACACTTGCCGTGCTTACTTCTTCACTTTTTTTCTTTTTTTTTCCTTTTTGGTAAATGTAATTGGAATGAATGGCTTGTCAGAACTAATAATGGGCATTTGCAAGCAGCCCTGAATACAAAAAGCCAAATGTGAATGCATTAACACAAAGACGGTGCATCAGCTTTATTTCACAGCAAAAACATCTCCAGAAAGTTGGGAAAAAGCAGCCAATACTATCAAGCCCCTTTACTTTTAAGCACTGAAGAAATTCCTCGCTTTGCAGAAATGAAAACCTGAGAGCAAAGTGATTCTTAATGTGGACTAAGTGCTGTTAAATTATAGGGAGACATTTCCATGCTAACCAGACTCTGCAATTTCTGTCACATTGCAATAATATTATTATGTATTTCAGCGAGGTAACTTAGCCATGGGTATAGTCCAAGATTTGTGGAACTAATGTGTCATTAGAATATACTGCACTTGCCTTAGAATAAGGGCAAAGGACTACACACTTCCAAACATGCACAAAGAAACTCAGCCTTCTCACAAACACACACATACACAGTCGGGGTCAAATATGTTATGCTGTAGAGCTGTGTGTGATCAGCAGAGTGCAACTAGCTTAATGAGTTTAGGAAGCCAACACGATTTTGAAGATTTACAGCATGAGCCAATCCACCTACCACCAACTGCACCATAACGATCATTAAGCAAATGTGAAACACATGCCATGCACGTAAACACATGCTGAACTGAGACTATTATTATCTGAATGCCTCTGTGTCTGTCTGACTATCAGTATGTCTATTCATTTGTAGAATTTAGAGTACACCTGCAGTCCACTGGGGGAAAAACAAACTCAATTTTATACAATTACTACAAGAAGAGTTACTATTCAACGTATATCAATTATAGTTATATATTAAGTGTCACTAAAAGTGTGTTGTTGATGCACATGGCTGGACTAAAATTGAAATTCTGTTATTCAGAATTTGTATAATAAGCTCCAGTCGCCCCCATGACTCTAGTGAGGATTGAGCGGTGTATAGATAGTGGATGGATGGATGTGTTACTTGAAACTAGCAGACACATCAAGTAGTGTTAAGGCAACCTCATGTACTCTTGTTATTCATGGAGAGAAAAACAAACAAACAAAAAAAAACATTTTGTTTCTATGAATCATTGGGAAAATCCTACCTGACTTTCAGATTTGTGAATTACCTGCACATTAGTTAAGATTTTTCCGCCCACATACACGATCCTCTAGATATGAAAGCCAGGTTAATCTCTAGAAATCTTCATGCTCTGTGAAAACTGCATCTGGCCGAGCAGATATTAAATCCCTGTACTCCGTCCATGATTTGACTCCGAGCTAACCACCCACATCGTGTTGTCCAGGCTATCTCCATTAACCCACATAACAGCTTGAATCCCCACTGGATCATTCTAATTGACTTACCAGGCAGTCCAAGTGTTAAAGAGCTCTCTAGATTTACACTGGACCATCCCCACGGAGAGACAGAAGCACACAAGTATCAATGACATTGACCACCTGTGACCCTATGTTTACCGCTGAGCTGATACCCAGCAGATCAATGATCGCTTGCATGTTTGGAAGTCTTGTAGCACAAACATGCATTCACACATGACGCAGGATGTAGCACTGTCCAGTACAATGACATTAGAAATAGGATATCTGGTCAAGAACTGCCAGAATTAAACACTTCAATTAGAATCTAAATGAATATTGGCCATTGTAGGAAAGACTTTTCAGGGCTGCTAATTTGAAATATATCGTCATGCTTGTTTTCTTTTCCCTTTACACAGTGTAGTTTCCAAAAAATCCACATAAATCAAAATATTTTTTGAAGAAGTATGTGATGAATACAACATGTAGGTCCTGCCCCTCCTCCTACATGCATTAGATGCCATTAGTACTTTTGTTTACATCATGTGTTCTTTAAATACAAAAACAACGCAAACACCCACACAAACTCCATTATTGTTTTCAGCAGCCCAGTGGCTCTGATACAGATATCTTTAAAAATAGACAGCAGTCTATAAGAAAAGTGTCAGATTCCTGCTGAGGTTATCATACATCCCCAGCGGTCTTCAAAGTCTCATCCATTCTGTCTCTATTGTTTTTAATGGCTCTTGCAGCGTCATGCATATCTACCGCTGGATCAGTAAGCTCCAAAATAAGTAAAGTCTGTGAGCTCGTACAAGCCAGCCTCACGATCTCTCTCTCCCTCTCCCTCTCCCTCTCTCTCTATCTTTCTCTTTCTCTCTCTCTCTTCCTCTCTCTCCCTCTGTATGTGTATATTCGCTGTCTTTTTCCACAAAACCTATGAATTTGTCAGCTTTGTGCGGGATAAAATGAAGCAGACAGAATTAGGTGAGGTGATAGGGACTCTCCGCCAAGAGAGAAGAGGGAGAGGGGAGGGGTGTGGAGAAATGGGTATGCGATATGCCTAACAAATGATCACAGGTTCAGAGCTCCCCTTGGTGGTATCTGCCAGTACTGCTGGTGTGTATGCAGAAAGCAGTGTGTAAATGCAGAGTTAGGCTAATCCTTGTGGTGTGTGTTTGATAGGCAGGCGAGCACACATGGCTTGACCTTTCATCAGTGCAAGTCTCTGCCCCCAATACAAACACATTCACACCCATTCTGCACCATCCACAGTGCACAGTGGCTCGCATAAACAGCAGGGCAGTCCTCCTTTCCTTCCTCTGCTTCTACTGACATGATTTACCATCGTGGACATCTTGTAGTCTTCAGTAGTGGTGACCATTCTGTCCTGTGGGATTACATCCAAGGTCTTAGCACAATGCTGAAAAAAGAACACAAGGGCAAAGAAGGAAACGTTCATGTCAGGATGTCCTGGGAAATGATATATCAGATACACAGAATCCAAAAATAAATAATAAAAAAAAAACATTGTAAAAATGGGTCAAATATTGAGCGTGCAATGTCACGCTAGTCAGCATACATCAAGCAGTTCAGGTCCTTCTGTTGATGTGTGCACAATGTGCAGTTTAAATAAATCTGCCCGTTGTCTACCGCACTGTATGTTTAGTATGTATTGATTTGCTGATCTTTTCAAATCCCTCTTTGATTTTCCTCGTAGCCCTGCAGACACAATGGGCACATGCCATTTTCCAAAACTGATCGTTTCTCGCTCCTTGCTCCTCACTCCACCCAGACATTGTTACCTCCATGATGGGCTGCCATCATGAAGGCCATTCTAATGTGGTTATTTCTGCTCCAAGGAGCAAGGGCGAATCCCTGAGGAAGCTAGAGCGACTATACAAGAGAGCCTTCACAGACAAGCTTTTACTGGACAGACACACCCCTTTATTGGAAATCTGTCGATGACTGGCTGATCCATGACTACAGTTTTATACAGACAGGCCAAGAACAGAACAGGCTCATGAGCATTAATGCCAAGATTGAGATCATACTGGTTTTCAGATTCACAGTCTAATTAAAATAGACGATTTGTGGATATGATTGACAAAAACATGAACAGTTTTCTTCCAACATGAAAACAAGCCTCATACTCATAATCTCTTATTTCCCCTTTTAGTGTGTGTCCTGAATAATAATCTAGTTATGGAGAGGCAGAGAGCCTGATGTCAATCACAGATTAAACACATTTAGTCAGTTCTCATCAAATAAATTTAGTCTAAAACATTTGTGGGAATAACACATTTCTGCTCAACATTCTAATCACAGCCTCGATTACTAAATAATGTATTAATAGACAGATCAGTTAATGCAGTTGCTACCAGTGGAAATATGCTTAATGTGAAGCTCAGTGTCTGAACAGAACACATTTGCACACTGTGGTTTTACTGATCTTAGTATAAATACAGAACATATAGGAAGACTTAAAGCTAAATTAAAAAAAAAAAAAAAAAAGGCATACTGAAAGTGGCATATGTGCATTTTGATCTAAAATTTGTTCTAACTGACAACTGATCCAGCTGTGCTACTGTCGTTAGAAATGGACGTCACTTTAGTTGACAGTTCAGAGGAAATGATGTTTAATTTTTTCTAAAAACATATTTCCTCTTGCCTCGTGTCTTTCCCTTGCACCTCTCCTCACATCTTCCATGTAATAGATTAAGATGCATGAAGATCCAAGTGAGGCTAACATAGATGCAATTAAGAGCATTGGCATATA